AAGCTGAACCAAACATGTACTTAGTGTTTATTGTTCTGTCCATTCAACATCATTGTTTTCCGTTTTGCTTGCCCAGTTGGACTGGAGATTAGCAGACCATGAAAGGGCTCAGAGTTCTTCAAGTTCATCAGATGATAAGGTGTCAGAAGTTGATATCACACCCAATAGAGTTTCAGAGGATATTGTAAGGTGCTTGAGTAGCATTTTTGTTAGAATTGGTACATCCAAGGACAAAATTGGGGAAGCAAAAACACCTTCGCGCTCTGCATCAGCTTTCAACCAATTCAGCAAGGAAAAGGATCAACTTTGTGATCCTTATGGTATCTGTCCAGAATCAAAAACAAGAGAAGTTGGTCCATATAAAAGATTATGTGAAGTCAAAGCCTCCACTGTTGATATGAACCGGGCATCAAATGCTGTGTTTTTGATCCAAAGATTAAGGTAAGTAGTTATTGACTATTAAGTGTTTTTGATTGAGGAAACTGTGGGTATCTATCTAATCTTGCCGAAAAATTCAGGTTCTTACTTGGGAAACTAGCTTCTCTCAACTTGAAGGGTCTTACTCATCAGGAAAAACTTGCATTCTGGATAAACATTTACAATTCATGCATGATGAATGTAAGACACCTTTGTGCTGCTGGTTTATTGCATCTCATTAAAATGCAAGCCGGAATAGATTTGAGTTGAATTTGACGTCATCTTAGGTTCTGAGAGCAAACATCTTATAACGATTTTGGTTTCAATGTTGTAGGCATATTTAGAGCACGGCATCCCTGAGAGTCCAGAAATGGTTGTAGCATTAATGCAGAAGGTACATTTATTTGGGTTATATTGTTAACATTCATTATTATTATTGTTGTTATTGTTGTTGTTATTGTTGTTGTTATTGTTGTTGTTATTGTTGTTGTTATTGTTGTTGTTATTGTTGTTGTTATTGTTGCTAATGGTGACGCTGTTAAACTACAATATTCAAAGCAGTAGAAGCATTGCTAGAAAGTCTTAATCCTGAGTCCTATGGTCACCTACCAAGAAATACAATTGACAGAAAGAAAAAAACGAAAAAAAAAAAGTCATTGGACTCAAACTGACCATGAGTCCCTTCCGATACTATAATAGGTTCTAATAATAGGTCAGACATTAAACCATGTTCAGAATGTTCCACTGAAATTGGTTCATCAGCTAAATGAATGTAATGCTAAAGGACATTTCAAATTTAGTTCCAAACTTCTTATACCTGTTTCCTACAAACACTGTCTAAGTATGTAATGTCCTTTCTATATATCTCTCTAAATAAAATGTCCAAGTTAATTAACTAAGAAAGGGCAATGCATGTTTCAGGCAACTATGGTAGTGGGGGGCCAGTTACTCAATGCAATTACACTGGAGCATTTCATCTTGAGACTGCCTTATCACCTCAAGTTTGTAAGTGCAAAATTTTTGTGCTTTCTTTTGAATTCAGAGTTCATAGAAAATAAAGTTGACTTTCCTTCATTTTTTTGGTTCCTGTGACAGACGTGTCCAAAAGCTGCAAAAAGTGATGAGGTTAAAGCACAAAGCATATTTGGCCTGGAATGGTCTGAGCCCTTAGTAACATTTGCACTTTCCTGTGGAAGTTGGTCTTCACCTGCAGTATGTTTTTCTATCTTAGTTTACAAGATAAAATTGTTATGCGGCAACGGTTAACTGTTTTTTAGCTTTTGGGGACAGTCTAGATGAGTTTTTCCTTAAACATTTCTGAAGGAGAAAAACAAGAAGGAAATGAAAAATTCACTAGTTAAAATTAGCTTACACAGTTAAAAATAAAAATTCAGAAAAATTATATGAGAAAGCTTACACAAGTTATTTTAGTCTATCAAAAGAAAACGACTTCAATTTTGTTTTCATTTTTCTTTTTCTGAAGTATTTATGGAAAAGTTTGTCAGATCTCAAATTCTTATGGAGAAGTTGGTATGTGACCAATATCATGTCTCAGACGTGTTGATTCTATAGTAAGAAATCTGGAATTAATTAGTTTCACATTGCAGACAGTAATTATAAGGTTAGAAATAGAAGCTGTGATTATAAATTTCTGCCTTATACATCAAGACGTGATTTTGGTTCTACAGGAAATAAAATCAATCACACCATAATAGCGTATTTGGAAGGTCGTTGAGAAAAAACACCTTTTGGATACAGAAGTTATAATTAGTTTACGAACATCACATCCGAAACATGAAACCAAGCCCCTTATAAGAAAGAACATTGTGTTCTTCCAATTCCAATGTTCCATTTTACATGTAGGAGTTTGACAATGTGTTCACTAGTTAAGATGCATTTCATTCACCTTTCATTAACTTCACTCAATAAAGCATAAATATTACATGCCTTTTCTATTTCCATAAATATACTTTTTTAATAAAAAAAATTACTTTTGTTTTATTAACCAAGTGACATAGCAAATCTTGTCTTTTTTTCTTTTAGGTGAGAGTTTATACAGCATCACAAGTTGATGATGAGTTAGAAGCAGCAAAGAGAGACTATTTACAGGCTTCAGTTGGTATCACAAAATCAAACAAGTTAATAATCCCCAAGTTGTTGGACTGGTATTTACTGGACTTTGCAAAGGACTTAGAATCTTTGTTGGATTGGGTCTGCCTCCAACTACCTGACGAAATGAGAAAGCAAGCAGTTGAATGCCTTGAAAAAAGGGGAAGAGATTCTCTATCACAGATGGTACAAATGATGCCCTATGATTTTAGTTTCAGGTTACTTTTACACCAGTAAGTTCTGAGAAGTGTTGTTCAGGTTACTTTAGTTTGATGTGGTGGGTTTTTTGTTTGTACATTGGTGGTTCACACAGAAAGTACATAAGCCAAAACACGTAACGTTTTCTCATTTGGGAATAGGTTTTGGCATTTGGGTCATTGCTGGTTAGTTATGCTTTTCGGAGATATACATAGAAATGGAGAGTTTTTAAATCTTAGATTCATTTAGGCTGCAACTTTCTGCGTTTATAATAATATCATATGTTGCTTTAAACCCATGGCACCAAATGCCAGTACACCAAATAGAACAACGTTTAACAACGTCAGCATACCATGGATTTTGGTTGGGGTAACAAGAATATACACAAAATTGAGCAGCGACTGAAAAAATTAACTTATGCTCAGTTTTATATTATTTTTAATTATATATATAGAGAGAGAGAGTTAGTTCATGCATATGTTGTGATTCATTAAGAGCTATCTTCTGTACATATGGTCAATTATAAGAGGGGTGTTATTCCCTCCACCACTACATTTTCTCCCTCCACCTCCCCAATTCTATTACATATTTTTTGAATTACAAAACTAGCTTTTTATAATTACAAAAATAACTTTTTTACTTTTTAATCCTAATTATTTATTTTAACTCTAAAATCTATCTTTCTACCCCTTCTCACCCACCTCCCAACCCTCTCAAATTCTCATCCAAACTCCATCACATCCGTTTCTCATCTTCCATTTTTTCTTCATATATGTTTTCTTCATATCTGTTTTCTTCCTCCTTTAGCGGTTCGGTGGTGTATACTAATAACAATAAAGATCCTCAAAAATACATTATTAAAATACATCAAAATATATTCAAAAATAATATATCAAAAAATATAAATTATATTATTTAAATATCTTCAAAATTAATATAAAAAAAACTGTAAAATATAAACCGTATAATCTTTAAACGGATGTGAGCATCCATCTGTTTAAAGATTATAAAAGATTATACGGTTTATATTTTAGGGTTTTATTACGCACCTTCACGCCTCTGAACCTTTCACAATCTTACTAAACACAAAGTCCACCATACTTTCACGTCACAATTCTATAAAAGAGAAGAAGAAGTGGAACATGAAAGACAACCCAAGGGTAGTGGAACGTAAGAGACAACCTGGGAAAAATAATAAAGAGAAAGAGGGAAGAATGATAAAGAGAATGAATGTATACGTGAGATTTTAAATAATATTAACCCTAAAATTTTAATAAGGGTAAAATAGGAATGAAAAAAAATAAAGAAAAGGGTAAAAGGGGAATGGGGTGGTGGAGGAAGCAAGTTGTGGTGGTGGAGGGAGTAACACCCTTATAAGAGTAATTTATCATTTATAGTATACATCTTTTATTCTAAAAAAATACACGCAATTTAAAAAAGTGAACTATAAAATCAACCGATATTAGCTTTTAAGTTGCGAGAAATTCTTAAGTATAAAACAATAATGCATCGTGTATGCTTCCATTAGTAAATAAATAGGAAATGAAATATAAGGAAAGAAAATAACTACAACAAAAGGAAAAAAAGAAAATAAATATTTTTTTCTTGTTAATTCAGAAGAAAAGAGAGTGAAATGATGTTTTATTAAGGAGAAATAACAAACTGTTTGATATATCCGTTATCGATAGCCTTAGATAATTCTTATATTCATATTGCTTTCCCTGGAAACAATTGTTATTCAAAGTAACATGAAAACTCAGGTTTATTTTACAGAAGACCGTTTAAGATATTTAAACAATATATAGATTTACTTTTATTCCTAAACAATATCTAGATATAAACTCCAGGTTCGTGATTTTTGGAATAAAAAAAGATCCATGTTAACTATACTTTCTTAAATATCAAATTCTACGAGACATTATTATTGAATGAAAATTGTTAGATATAATAATTGTACAACTCTAATGTCCAATCGAATAAACTCAATTTCTGATAAAGTTTAACTAATAAAAGAATATATTGACGTGTGTTAACAGTACTCCACTTAATAGTAATAGTTTAAAAATTAATTAAAAAATTATTAAGCTGCTGCTTTCTAAAAAGCAAGATTTAGCTAATTATATTTTCCGTGTATTAAATGATCTTCAAATCCATATCCTTATAATATGATAAAACTATGAATCGATAAACTCATTCCATCATTTCTCATCTGGTAAGCTTTCCAACAATACATAAACACAAGTGCAACAACTCTTCCCTGGGATTTCAGATCATACTGGATAAAAATTGTCGATTTTCTCATATGCACATCAAATAATATCCCATCTTAAATTTACATGCATAGCCGAATGTGTATACTGACCGTAAAGGACGAGAGCAATATTTACGAAATGCAATTGATCTGCAACTTCGTTTTTCTATCATGGCAAAAGAACAACACAACTACATTACAGGACAACAACACACTCTGTAATCACAAGCAATGCATCATAGGAAAAAAAGAGAGCCCACAATCGCATCAAAACTCGAAAGCAGTGTTCGCAATAGATGATAAACCTTACAATCTCTCCAGATGTGGCGCAATATTTGATACCCCATAGTCTCTTGTATACTTTCTCTACAAGGTTGTCTCTGTAATACTTTCAGCGGGGGTACAAAAGGTCATATATAACAAAGATTATAATCCATCTCAGACACTCAACCAAACGGAGAAGGAACTGGTCCTCCTCCGGCAAGAGCATCTGATCTCTTGATGCTTCCCATTCCGCAGACAATGCAACCAGGTGCAGTCACGGCCGAAAATTTGGCTCCACAGAGATCACAGACATCATATCCAATAGTTGACAGCCTGCTTAAGGTGCCAGCACAGAATTGTGAGGGATCTTCCAAAGGATCAATGGACTTGTTTGTCAAACCCCTCTGAACACACAGGTCGATCAGGCTTCTAAATTCCTCCTGCTTGTTTGAAGGTGCTTTAGACAACAGTAATTCTAACATTTGCTTCGAATAGGCATAATTTTGTACATCCATGTTTCTTTTGATGGCAGTTCGAATGCAATTTATTCTGTGCTTAGCTAGAAGTGGCAGGGAACCAAGATGACGTGAAAGTCTAGCCATCTCATCTTTAGCACTTATTGCACTCGGACCATGGACTTTCTGCAGACGTCCAATTTCCTGCAATAATGAAGGTAATATACAATTCATCAACCATCCACTGCATTACTAAACTATAGAGTCGAAGCAATTTTGAAGGTTCATGTCTAAACAGAGAAAGCCAACATTTGTACACCGCAAGGTTAAAGACTTTACTGTACAAGTTTACAAAAATTAGATTCAGTTTAAATAGTGTAGATAACGATCGATACGGAAAAAACATGACATTTTCTTTGCATATATTCAGATGAACTGCTTAGAATGTGTAGTACAGGCCCAATTCGAGTTTGGATTGACCTGAATATGTATCAAGCATAGGAGGTGTATCATTCAAAAAGTTTGAATCAATTGGACCCCTTTAACCTTATAATACAGAGTAACCTGTCTTAATTTACCCTGCTTGGTACTACAGCTTATTTTACCCTGCTTGGTACTTCAGCTATTCAACAGGAGTCACCTGACATCACTTACAGCACATCAGGAGTCTTAACACGGTTATTATGTTTATGGCCTAGAGAAAAAAAAAAACGTGTGTACATTTTTATAATAGGTCCATCCTATCGTACTTGCGTTTAAAATTGAATAATCGTTCAAATTGAATAATTGCATTTAGTACCCGGAGAAGAGTGACTGCTATCTTGTATTGAGCACAGATTGTTGCTTGAGCTTTTATATCGATTCCACGAGATTGTTCCTTAGCTAAGGCAAGAAAAGCTTCATCAAAACAAGACAATGCATCTGAAAGATTATTTTGCTCCAGGTGAGCGAGTCCAGTCTTGAAACATACAGAAGCAGCAGCTCCACGGGGAACCTGTCAGAAGATTCATGAGATTAGATTGGAAACAATGATGAAACAATATATATGCCCCGCAGGTTCAGAGAAAAGCTAATTCCCTAGTTGTGTCATTATCCAAAGAAATAATCTATCATGTTCATAAACACACTAGCTAAATCAAGATCTTTTCTCAGGCAAATTGTACTAATTTCTTCTCCAGCAACTGAAAAATTATGACATGAAAATTAAAAAGGGTGTATTCCATTTTGTTTTATCTAGACGTAAGTTCAATCCAGATCATCTAATTCTCGCAAAACTACCCAATTCTTCCCTTGACACTCATGAACAAACAAATATTTCAGAAAACCATGGAACCTCGTGTCATTCAGATATCGCTGCATGTTTATTTTCTACATACCTGTCCAGGATGCACAGCAATTTGTTGAGAACCAGTTTGTGGAGGCTTCCCTGAATCGGGAGACTTTGGTGCTCCAAGTATGCTAAGATCAAGAGGTTGGCTAGAAATTTGAGCCTGAGTAGCCTGTAGCTGAGAGTCAGGTATGACCACAGCCTGAGATGAGGATTGTGGTGGGACACCACCATCAGGAAGTCCTATGGACTCGTTGGAAACAACAGGTTGTTGAATGGTTTGAGGGGGAATACCACCTTGAACACTAGCATCAGCTTCAAAAGCACCAACTTGATTAGGAGTTGTCTTAATATTTTCAACCCCTGGAGTGTACTTAGAGAGAAAAGTTCCAGCAGGGGGTAATCCCGCAGCCACTTGAAGGGATGGAATTGTATTCTGAAAGAAATCCTCGGGAATAGGTCCTGCTTTAAGTCCCCCACTCACAACGCTACTAGTTGGCTGTGAAACGAGTTCAGGTTGAGTCAATGTATCTGTACCAAAAATGTCACCAGGAGTTGAAACAGTTGAAGAATCTGACCCTGTAGTTGCTGGAGGCAGGGAAAAATTCTGGCCAAGATCCTGGCTTCCACCAGTTGAGAACCTGGTCCTTGTAGGTGGAGCTAACGCTTCACCAAGTTTAAACTGTCTAGTGGCTTCCTTAATCTTATTCACATCCACAGTAGAAGAGGCAATTGGCTTGTCCCGTATTTTTATGTGTAACTTTTTTATTTTGGATACTCCTTCTTCATCACTACTGCTGCCATCGGCAGCAGTTCCATACATGGATTTCTTAAATTCTTCTTCTGCTTTGGCCTGTTCATCAGCAGAGGAACTGACAAGCTGTTGGTTAAGGCTTTCCAGACCCATCAACGAATCACCTTTGGTATTACCAACCACATTCGACTGATGATTAGATACAGATTTAACAGAAGATGCTTCAGGTCCATTTATTTTATTATCATTACCTTTAGGCATGAAAACCTTAACCAAACCATCTTCCCTCACCTCTACAATATTGCCCCTTCCTTTGATTGAGCCTAAATACACACCAATATGATCTACAATAATGGATGGTATTGTACCATCATCAGTTTTCATGTATGGTGTCACCTCTGCAGCAAGCTCCCACTGAGGTATATCTTTCACAGCAGTAGGTGTTTTAATTTCCCAGTTTCCACCACCCCATTCAGGTCCTTTAGGAACCATACTCTCAGCTGCAAAGTTGGCAAATATACCTTGTGTCCATCCAGTTGATCGAATTCGTAATATCCTATCACAATATCTCCTCAATTCCGAGTCAAGACTTTCTTCTTCCAATTTCTGAGCAAGACGCCGCATGGCACTTGGATTAAGGTGGCATATAAACAGATCAAGCATACTTTCATGATCTGCTATAACTTCAAATGTTTCTTTTGCACTATCAAATTGACCAAACCTGAAAATAACCTTCAATTAGAGAAGTAACAAACTTGTAGATCATGACATTCAAATAACTACAGTACCAGCTGCACGCCAAAACATAACATATGGAAGCTCCAAGTTACAACATTCACAAAAGAGATGCATGTCACTAGATCAACCAACACATCTAAGCTATAAAATGAAAGGAAAAAAACACTGATATAAGCAACATACAAGATAAACATCTAAAGCCAGAGAAAGCCAATTTGAAGTATTATACAAGGAGTACGAGGCAATCAATAACAACCAAAAAATCAATCAATCTAGAAACAGAAATAAATAGAAGTCATAATATAATAACCAAACCCTTTCCATTTCATCAATGCTACTCATATACAGATAACAAATGGATGGACTGAATAACAGAAAAAAGAGAAGCATGTGTAGAAAATCATATTTTGATGAATTTGCCTCCAAACTCATAGGCGCATGAACTGGAGTTAAATTGCAGAATCAATGAAGAAGATGAGGTCAATGTTGAGATGACGACCTCGATACCACTTGATGGATGTTGAAGAATTGGTTCAGTATCGTATATGGAAATAATGCAAATTCCTAGAAAGATTAGACCTAATCTAGGGAAGGAGGCTAGAAGAAGCTTTGAGGAGAACCTCTAATCGGTGACTCCCAAGAAAAGTAAAATTTGGAGTGATCTCAACAAAGTTTTACTAAAAATCCAAGAGAGTCTTTACAATGGTTGTTAGGATATAGGATGATAGATTAGATGGGTTTAGGAGTTAGGGGTGTGGGGGTGTCGGTTGTAAAAGGAGAAGCGGATCAGAACTGCTATAAATAGAGCTCTAGTAACTCTGTAAGGATTATGGAATATACTTTGTGTAAAGTCAGGAGTTTTAGCTTGTAGAGAGGGGTTATGCCCTCAGCCAGGGAGGTTATGCTCCCAACTCATTCTTGTACAAAGGTATCTTTTACTGTGAATAATACAGAAAACCCATTCTTTCTTTCTATCTCCATCTTTTGATTGTGTTCTTGTTAGGTTCCAAACCCAGGAACCTAACAAATTGGTCCGAACTGCCGGATCATCAAGGGAGAACTGCCGAATCATCAAGGGAGAACTGCCGGATTCGAAGTGGGGTGTGCCAGTTCGAGAAGCTGCCGTTTCAAGAAACTACCATATCGAGACGCTGCTGGATCGGAGTGGGGGTGAAGGATGAAGAAGTAATCAAGAAACTGCCGGATCCCATTTGGAGAGAAGACGTTAGCGCATGATGGAGGGAAGAGTGGTGGCAGTTGAAGGGCACTTGGAGGCTGTCGAGATTGCAATAGCCGAGATGAAGGCAGACACGGCGGCGATACGACAGGACATCCAAGCGATCTTGAAAGTGCTTGGAGAACGTAACCACAGTCACAAGGGCCAGCATCAGGATGAGAGCCAATCGTCGGTGAATGATAATGGGGGTGGACCCGACGGCGAAAGGGGAAGAAGAGGAGAAGGTAACCAAGAAGGAATGGTCAATTGGAGGAAACAGGTCGAGTTGCCCGTGTTTGAAGGGGGCGAACCATGGATTTAGATAGGCAGAGCGGAGAAGTTTTTCGAGGTCCAGAGGGTGGCCGAAGACGAGAAATTACAGTTGGCTTTCATCAATATGGAGGGGTATGCCGCATATTGGTTCCGTTTTTGGAGGGAAAAAACCAAGAACAATTCTTGGGAAGGGTTGAAGAGAGCGCTGGTGATCCGATTTGGAGAACGGAACGGGGGTACCATCTTTGAAAGGGTGGCGGCCAGTAAGCTGTCGGGAACCGCGGAATACGTCCCAGCATCGAATGTAAACGATCGTACAGTCAAAACGGTCTACAAGTCATTGGCCGAGCGGTCCGAGACCATAGAAGACCAGTCGTCTTGGGGACGAACGAGTGGTGAGGTGACACGGTTGGAGGCCGATCGCTATAACCCATGCCGATTGGGAGTTGCCGAGTGGTCCGAGGCCAATCACCCAGGCCGATCGGGAGCCGCTAAGAGTGTGGGGTCAGTCTGGAATATGCACGGTCAGCCAGGGAACCGAACGGTATTGGTCATCAAAGAACGAACGGTTGAATGCAGGGGGAGGAGCCGAACGGCATAAAGATATGGAGAAGAGAATCGCACGGCAGAGGACTGTTGGATCCGAACGTGAAAGGACCACCGGAACCGAAAGGGAGAGGACGTCGGGAAGCGAACGTGAGAGGACTGCCGGATCCGCACGGGAGAGGACTGTCGGACCCGAACGGAAGAGGATGGGAGGAACCGAACGGTCTTATAGCTACAGTAAAAGGCCGAACGGTATTACACTCAAAACGGTCTCCTAGTCATTGGCCGAACGAGCTTACCATTAGAATGAAGGATGAGGAGGGAAAGGTGGATGGAAGAATCAATGTCCGGGAGAGCAGGACGGATTTTGTGAAGAGGTGGACCAGCGAACAAAAGAAGGGCCTTGCCGTTCGTGAGGCACCTACAGAGGGGAGAGAACTTTTTGAAGCTTTGAAAGACATCAAAGAACAATTCCTCATGGCTTATAATTCTGGAAATGAGGTAACCAGAATGCTGGAAGCTAATAAAATCCAAGAAAAATGGAAGTTATTGGAGGAGGAATTGCCACCACCCAAACCTCCAGACTTGAATTGGAGTGCAGTTGCCAAAGGGTTCCAATAATATGAGTACACGATGATGAAGCGGAGCAAGGAGATCAAATCTCACGTTTCCAACCTTGAGGACAAGATTGTTTTGAAGCGGGGTGTAATGTTAGGATATAGGATTATAGATTAGATGGGTTTAGGAGTTAGGGGTGTGGGGGTGTCGGTTGTAAAAGGGGAAGCAGGTCAGAACTGCTATAAATAGAGCTCTAGTAACTCTGTAGGGATTATGGAATATACTTTGTGTAAAGTCAGGCGTTTTAGCTTGTAGAGAGGGGTTATGCCCTCAGCCAGGGAGGTTATGCTCCCAACTCATTCTTGTACAGAGGTCTCTTTTACTGTGAATAATACAAAAAACCCATTCTTTCTTTCTATCTCCATCTTTTGATTGTGTTCTTGTTAGGTTCCAAACCCAAGAACCTAACAATGGTGCAGACCCTTCTATTTATAGGAATGAAGGCTCCTCTCTACGCTAACTACTACTTGCCCTAATTTCATGCCACAATTCACGGATCAGCTAACAACAAGTGGGATACAACGTGTTTTAAATTGACATCACGTGAAAAAAAATGAGGAAGGTGCTTTTGGAAAGAAGACTGGCTTCTTGGAGGAAGAGATCAATAGCCCTGCCTATATAGTGAACTCGGAAACCTGGTCCTGCAAGAAGAGCTCAGCAGCTCAGCTGAAACAATACCTCGACAACCCGGCCATGAGGAGAACCCAGCAACCCGGCTTTTTAGCAACTTGGCAGCTTGGTCTAGGATTGAGCCCGGAAACCCAGCTGAACTTCAAGGCAACTCAATCCAGGAGCCTGACAATTGGCCTTGGAGCCCGGCAGCTCATCCCAGGAGCCTGGCAGGTTGGCCTAGGAGCCCGGAAGGTCAATCGGGAAGCCTGGATGGAAACAAGAGAACTCGGCCAGATGCAGAAAAGCTCGGTTGGAAACATGAGTCCGGCAGCTTGTCCAAAAGTACAAAATACAAAGAATATGAAAGAAAACTTATACATTTCTACACTATTGTATATTTAGAAACAAGGAGACTAAACCCAAAAGTACAAAATACAAAGAATATGAAAGAAAACTTATACATTTCTATTATTTGTATATTTAGAAACAAGGAGACTAAAGTTGGACTGATTCATGGACCCATGTTGTAAGCCCTTGGGGTGATATTCATCATATTTGTATCCTTATTATATATTTCCTTGTCATATATATACCTGTCCCTTTACCTTAGCTAAATACGAAAATAAATCGCCAATTATAAGATATTGAAATAGATCCTTAGAGATTATAAGGAAATGTGAAAACTTTCCTAAAAGATAATCTAAGATATTCTGAATTACTCAAAGATATCATCACAAGAATGTGAAATGAAACATTATAAGATATTTTTCAAATTTCGATTCTCTGCCAAGTTTTTTGTGTTGTCCTTCTACTGAATCTTTAAAATAGATTGATGGACACTGATTTTGATGTTTTAATATACCAACATTAATGTATTTTAAAAGTTTAGTAGAGGGACAATACGAAAAACTCGAGAGAATCTGGACTTATTTTTCATATATTCTAACAAAAACAAAACCTTAACATATTAACAAAGATTAAAATCTTCAAGACACAGTTCAAGCTAATAAGGAATAAATGAAACGTACATCATAGTTCAATAATTCCTTTATGTACAACAGAAATATCAAAAGCACAATCAAATTTCCAACTTTGCCTACCTGATACAGGCATAACCCAACTGCCTGAACCGGTGAAATAAATGAGATGTGGAGGGGCATTTTGGGTAATCTCTGGAACGCAGAAATTCATCTTTCAAAATAGATAAAGCAGTGGAAAAACGAAGAGCTTTCACAGCATAAACTCCACGCATCACCTGTGATGAAAATACTCACCTGCTCATATTTTCAAATAAACCAAAACGAAAATGCTAAGAGCAAGGAATTATGTTGCTTACTTGAGTGAACTGTGGACCTGATTGTGACAAAGCCACGGCTAAATCTCCACAAACAGGAGATCCTCTAGCAAGAATATCCAGAGACCTTGGTGTTATGCGCAAACTGTCAAACCTGCACTCCAATAAAAGATTACAGTGTAAGTGTTACAAGCTTTCATATAAATTTATGAAAAGCAAAGTGTTTTTGAAGTCTACAACCTGGATTTTATACCCATTAGATACGATTCATTGTGTAGTGTGTGTNTACAGAAAACCCATTCTTTCTTTCTATCTCCATCTTTTGATTGTGTTCTTGTTAGGTTCCAAACCCAGGAACCTAACAAATTGGTCCGAACTGCCGGATCATCAAGGGAGAACTGCCGAATCATCAAGAGAGAACTGCCAGATTCGAAGTGGGGTGTGCCAATTCGAGAAGCTGCCGTTTCAAGAAACTACCATATCGAGACGCTGCCGGATCGGAGTGGGGGTGAAGGATGAAGAAGTAATCAAGAAACTGCCGGATCCCATTTGGAGAGAAGACGTTAGCGCATGATGGAGGGAAGAGTGGTGGCAGTTGAAGGGCACTTGGAGGCTGTCGAGATTGCAATAGCCGAGATGAAGGCAGACACGGCGGCGATACGACAGGACATCCAAGCGATCTTGAAAGTGCTTGGAGAACGTAACCACAGTCACAAGGGCCAGCATCAGGATGAGAGCCAATCGTCGGTGAATGATAATGGGGGTGGACCCGACGGCGAAAGGGGAAGAAGAGGAGAAGGTAACCAAGAAGGAATGGTCAATTGGAGGAAACAGGTCGAGTTGCCCGTGTTTGAAGGGGGCGAACCATGGATTTAGATAGGCAGAGCGGAGAAGTTTTTCGAGGTCCAGAGGGTGGCCGAAGACGAGAAATTACAGTTGGCTTTCATCAATATGGAGGGGTATGCCGCATATTGGTTCCGTTTTTGGAGGGAAAAAACCAAGAACAATTCTTGGGAAGGGTTGAAGAGAGCGCTGGTGATCCGATTTGGAGAACGGAACGGGGGTACCATCTTTGAAAGGGTGGCGGCCAGTAAGCTGTCGGGAACCGCGGAATACGTCCCAGCATCGAATGTAAACGATCGTACAATCAAAACGGTCTACAAGTCATTGGCCGAGCGGTCCGAGACCATAGAAGACCAGTCGTCTTGGGGACGAACGAGTGGTGAGGTGACACGGTCGGAGGCCGATCGCTATAACCCATGCCGATCGGGAGTTGCCGAGTGATCCGAGGCCAATCACCCAGGCCGATCGGGAGCCACTAATAGTGTGGGGTCAGTCTGGAATATGCACGGTCAGCCAGGGAACCGAACGGTATTGGTCATCAAAGAACGAACGGTTGAATGCAGGGGGAGGAGCCGAACGGCATAAAGATATGGAGAAGAGAATCGCACGGCAGAGGACTGTTGGATCCGAACGTGAAAGGACCACCGGAACCGAAAGGGAGAGGACGTCGGGAAGCGAACGTGAGAGGACTGCCGGATCCGCACGGGAGAGGACTGTCGGACCCGAACGGAAGAGGATGGGAGGAACCGAACAGTCTTATAGCTACAGTAAAAGACCGAACGGTATTACACTCAAAACGGTCTCCTAGTAATTGGCCGAACGAGCTTACCATTAGAATGAAGGATGAGGAGGGAAAGGTGGATGGAAGAATCAATGTCCGGGAGAGCAGGATGGATTTTGTGAAGAGGTGGACCAGCGAACAAAAGAAGGGCCTTGCCGTTCGTGAGGCACCTACAGAGGGGAGAGAACTTTTTGAAGCTTTGAAAGACATCAAAGAACAATTCCTCATGGCTTATAATTCTGGAAATGAGGTAACCAGAATGCTGGAAGCTAATAAAATCCAAGAAAAATGGAAGTTATTGGAGGAGGAATTGCCACCACCCAAACCTCCAGACTTGAATTGGAGTGCAGTTGCCAAAGGGTTCCAATAATATGAGTACACGATGATGAAGCGGAGCAAGGAGATCAAATCTCACGTTTCCAACCTTGAGGACAAGATTGTTTTGAAGCGGGGTGTAATGTTAGGATATAGGATTATAGATTAGATGGGTTTAGGAGTTAGGGGTGTGGGGGTGTCGGTTGTAAAAGGGGAAGCAGGTCAGAACTGCTATAAATAGAGCTCTAGTAACTCTGTAGGGATTATGGAATATACTTTGTGTAAAGTCAGGCGTTTTAGCTTGTAGAGAGGGGTTATGCCCTCAGCCAGGGAGGTTATGCTCCCAACTCATTCTTGTACAGAGGTCTCTTTTACTGTGAATAATACAAAAAACCCATTCTTTCTTTCTATCTCCATCTTTTGATTGTGTTCTTGTTAGGTTCCAAACCCAAGAACCTAACAATGGTGCAGACCCTTCTATTTATAGGAATGAAGGCTCCTCTCTACGCTAACTACTACTTGCCCTAATTTCATGCCACAATTCACGGATCAGCTAACAACAAGTGGGATACAACGTGTTTTAAATTGACATCACGTGAAAAAAAATGAGGAAGGTGCTTTTGGAAAGAAGACTGGCTTCTTGGAGGAAGAGATCAATAGCCCTGCCTATATAGTGAACTCGGAAACCTGGTCCTGCAAGAAGAGCTCAGCAGCTCAGCTGAAACAATACCTCGACAACCCGGCCATGAGGAGAACCCAGCAACCCGGCTTTTTAGCAACTTGGCAGCTTGGTCTAGGATTGAGCCCAGAAACCCAGCTGAACTTCAAGGCAACTCAATCCAGGAGCCTGACAATTGGCCTTGGAGCCCGGCAGCTCATCCCAGGAGCCTGGCAGGTTGGCCTAGGAGCCCGGAAGGTCAATCGGGAAGCCTGGATGGAAACAAGAGAACTCGGCCAGATGCAGAAAAGCTCGGTTGGAAACATGAGTCCGGCAGCTTGTCCAAAAGTACAAAATACAAAGAATATGAAAGAAAACTTATACATTTCTACACTATTGTATATTTAGAAACAAGGAGACTAAACCCAAAAGTACAAAATACAAAGAATATGAAAGAAAACTTATACATTTCTACATTATTTGTATATTTAGAAACAAGGAGACTAAAGTTGGACTGATTCATGGACCCATGTTGTAAGCCCTTGGGGTGATATTCATCATATTTGTATCCTTATTATATATTTCCTTGTCATATATATACCTGTCCCTTTACCTTAGCTAAATACGAAAATAAATCGCCAATTATAAGATATTGAAATAGATCCTTAGAGATTATAAGGAAATGTGAAAACTTTCCTAAAAGATAATCTAAGATATTCTGAATTACTCAAAGATATCATCACAAGAATGTGAAATGAAACATTATAAGATATTTTTCAAATTTCGATTCTCTGCCAAGTTTTTTGTGTTGTCCTTCTACTGAATCTTTAAAATAGATTGATGGACACTGATTTTGATGTTTTAATATACCAACATTAATGTATTTTAAAAGTTTAGTAGAGGGACAATACGAAAAACTAGAGAGAATCTGGACTTATTTTTCATATATTCTAACAAAAACAAAACCTTAACATATTAACAAAGATTAAAATCTTCAAGACACAGTTCAAGCTAATAAGGAATAAATGAAACGTACATCATAGTTCAATAATTCCTTTATGTACAACAGAAATATCAAAAGCACAATCAAATTTCCAACTTTGCCTACCTGATACAGGCATAACCCAACTGCCTGAACCGGTGAAATAAATGAGATGTGGAGGGGCATTTTGGGTAATCTCTGGAACGCAGAAATTCATCTTTCAAAATAGATAAAGCAGTGGAAAAACGAAGAGCTTTCACAGCATAAACTCCACGCATCACCTGTGATGAAAATACTCACCTGCTCATATTTTCAAATAAACCAAAACGAAAATGCTAAGAGCAAGGAATTATGTTGCTTACTTGAGTGAACTGTGGACCTGATTGTGACAAAGCCACGGCTAAATCTCCACAAACAGGAGATCCTCTAGCAAGAATATCCAGAGACCTTGGTGTTATGCGCAAACTGTCAAACCTGCACTCCAATAAAAGATTACAGTGTAAGTGTTACAAGCTTTCATATAAATTTATGAAAAGCAAAGTGTTTTTGAAGTCTACAACCTGGATTTTATACCCATTAGATACGATTCATTGTGTAGTGTGTGTGTATATATATATATATATATATATATATATATATATATATATATATATCAGAAGTTTGGTGCCACTTAAAAATTTATACAAAATACAGTGTGAAGTGTCTCATTTTTCCAGGTTACTTAAGTCATGGCTCTAGATCAAGGTCAAACCTCAAGCACTGCCTCCCCTTGTTCTAACCGCATCAACTATATGATTTTTATAATCTGTTGTAATGGTTAAGGTCTTCACCATCCTTAATCATCTTGTCTTGTGAAGGCATAGTAGGACAACAATCAGAAACCAATTAAAAAGCCAACAGTAGTCATGACTCACAGTCATGACTTTCATGAACTAATATTTAAAAAAAGTGGTACCTAAGCCTCGACTTTTATACATATAACTTCAATAACACAGAAAAATTACTAACATCATATTGTGTTACTGTTTGATTTAATTAAACCAATTTTCAGTAATAATGTTAAGTAGTTTTTAAGTCTAACTCAACCCCACAAAATCAACTTGTAAAGTGAGGTTTGCACTCACTTATATACTATGAAACCATCTTATCTCTAATTGATGTGGGACTTCCAACACACCCTCATCGGTGGTCTGATAACGGGTGAAACAATATGTCCAATAAAGAACAAATCTCGCTAAGATAGACTATAACAATAACTTTGATACTATGTCAAGAAGTGAATTTTAAGCCTAACTCAACCCCAAAAAACTGACTTGTAAGGTGAGATTTGCACTCACTTATACTATAAAATCGTCTAATCTCTAGTCGATGTGGGACTTCCAACACTAACTTCCAACAAAATGGAAATATGCACAGCAAACTGCACCTGTTAGGTAAAGTTACCCAAATATTTCCACTATTAAAACATAAGTTAAAATTTTCTTACTTTAAAGGAAGAAAAGAAGGAAACCTTGATGTTATTTGGTATAATATTTCTGACAGGTCAAGCTTCTGCTCAAAACTTAGCTGCATTGTGGCAAATCCAATAAGAATTGGTTCAAGAAGACCAACAAGGCAGCTTTTGATCTCAACCCTCTTCTTCTGTCTAGGATTTATTTCCGTGGGGTTAGCAAGCAACAACCGGTCATTCAAAGAACCAACCAACACTGCACGAGAAACTCATAAATAGATCAGTAGGACTGCACAAAGAAATGTACAGTAGTTGAAACAAAAATAGAATATGCTTATCAAATAATTTATGGTTACAGATTATGACATCCTAGCAAGCGGCAAGAAGAATTACCCGCATAAGGCATACTGATTGAGAGGATAGGCCTAACTTTTCCATCCCAACCAAGTATACTGATAGTAGTAGCAGTAGAAAAAAGGAGGGCCGGCCCAACCCACAATAGAGATCTAAAGTGAGTATGAGTTAAGGTTCCCACAAAGAGAATATGTGAGACAAAAAATTAAAATTAGGAGGGGAGAAATTTTAAGAAACCCTTTGGTCTATTAGTTTGAAGCAGAGGCAGGTAAAAAGAGGTTCCAAGAAATCCTACCCCTCAATAGAGAGGATGCTATGCTCCCTCCAATCCCCCACCCCACCCCGCCCCTCCCTCTTAACAAGTCAGTTCACTAGTGTAAATAAATGGTTTGCTCATGTTGTAGAGAAATAAGTATATGGTGTAGAGAAATAAGTATAAAGGATATTGGAGGAAGTCCCTTATTAAAATTTGCAGAAGTGGCAGCAAGTATATCAAGGGCTGCTGAAACAATAAGGACTCGCTGTGTTGTTAATATTCCAGCAACGTATCCCCTAAGAGTTTCTTGCCAGTGCACCTGCCAAATTTGAAAAAACACATATTAGCACCTAGCAGAACAATGAAACAGAGCTATTTGATAATATTTCCACAAACAAGGAACCCTATAATCACCTGAAGCAAGAATGAAGGATCGAAACAATTTTTATTTTGGATGGGTAGGGGGAGGATAGAAAAGGCTCATTAGATCCTTATTGCTCCCATTCTTACTTTAAGAAATTAGACAAGTTTTAATTCAACTCCACAAAATCAATTTGTAAAGTAAGGACTATGAAAGATTTACAAGTTTTATTTAAGTCACATCTCTAGTTGTTGTGAGACTAAACCACTATTAAGACTGCAATTAAGACAGTCCACAAAAGAGATCACAAAGTTAACATCACTTTCTACCATTCCCCCCACCCTCCAAGGGTCACCAGCTGGAGTGTGACAACTAGTAAAGTAAGCACTACCCAAGATTATTTAAGTCACATCTCTAGTTGTTGTGAGACTAAACCACTATTAAGACTGCAATTAAGACAGTCCACAAAAGAGATCACAAAGTTAACATCACTTTCTACCATTCCCCCCACCCACCAAGGGTCACCAGCTGGAGTGTGACAACTAGTAAAGTAAGCACTACCCAAGATTATTTAAGTCACATCTCTAGTTGTTGTGAGACTAAACCACTATTAAGACTGCAATTAAGACAGTCCACAAAAGAGATCACAAAGTTAACATCACTTTCTACCATTCCCCCCACCCCCCAAGGGTCACCAGCTGGAGTGTGACAACTAGTAAAGTAAGCACTACCCAAGATTATAAGTTCTATTTAAATCATATCTATGGTTGATGTGGGACTATACCACTCCTATAGAGACTCCAATTAAGGCAGTCCACAAAGAGGTTCCAACCACAGTAGAAGTTACTGCAGTTAACGTCACTTTCCGACACTCTCCCTCACTTAGAACCACCAGCTGGAGTATGACAAATGTAGGTGTCCCAACAATGGATCTAAAATAATACCATTTATGATCTGGGTGAGTCAATTTTATGGTTTCTTAGAAATTGGACTTAAAGTTTAACTCAACCCAATAATACTCACTTCAAAGATGAGGACTGCTCAAGCCTTATAAGCTCTATTTAAATCACATCTCTAGTCAATGTGATACTAAGAGTGCCTAAGAGTTGCATCTTAGTGGCTATAGTTTATGATGCTTAACTTAGCCTTTCTAGTCAACCTTTCCATACGTAGCCCTTCCCAAACTAAGGGTGTTTAAATTTCAGGCGGCTTTCCAACCTCCTAATGCCTAGGGCTATAGACCAGAAGCATAAAAAACTGGTAATACAAGCGGTCAAACATGGATCTATAATTGGCATCCACTCTTATACTATAATTTGACCATAGCTCTAATTGACATGAAATCTCGAAAACACACTTTAACATCAAGAGAATTGCACACCTTAAGTGTAGAACTAGATATTTGTGAGTGGTCCAATAATCAATGACCCAATAAGCCTAAGAAACCTAGATATAATAGATTCTAATACCATCTTACAAAGTGAGTTTTAGGCCTAAACCAACCTTATAAAATTGATTTGTAAAATGAGATTTACATCCGCTTATACACTATAATGTAGTCAATAAATTAAGTTGTAAGGTGAAAATTGTCCAAACATTATAGATTGTATTTAAGTTATCCTTAGTCAATGCAAACCTAAACATACCTATGAGTCACACGTAAGTACTATAATTGATGACACAGGTGACCAAGTGACTTTCTAACATTGCAATATAAATTGTATTAGTAATTTTTTACTAGAAATTATACCCACAGACAACTACCCTCCATATTGTTTCAATGAAAGGAATTTTGCATATACAAGACAGGAAACATGTAACATTGAAAAATCACTCTAAATGTCTACCAGTGACAACCACCTTAAAAAGTCCTTTAGCATAACACAGAAGTATCCAAATGAACTCTAAGGCCAAAGAATCAACCACAAAATTCCAGCACTTTTTTCCAACAAAATACCCACAGAACTACAAATTGAAAACATAAAACCATTTTAGCATCTCTCTCTATTGGTTCCAAAAGTTCTAAAATTAAAACTTTTGTTTGGAGATCCATGAGGCAAACCCAACCTTCACCAACACATAGAATACTAAGCAATTTGTTTCCCTCTTTTTCTAACTCATTTTCCAACTATTTTCACTTAACTTCAAAGATGCAGTTATGAGCAATTTGGTAACCATAATTAAAAAAACACACTTCTAAATGATACCTGAAGCACAATCTCGTTTCTTTTCAACTTAATTAACTTTTTCCCTTCACTATTGGTTGATAAGTACTGGCCATTGGCAGTTGAAGTTGATAGACTGTAACCTTGTATGAGCTTCGCTATTCCAATTTGGTTTCCATGAGTAGCAAACATCAAAGATGAATCTACATTCACAGAAATCACTTTCAATACTTAATGCTATTCTAATTTCAACAAGTGACAACTATGTGTCTGTTAACGGTTAAATAAATGGATTCACATATGGTTGAGATATTCAAGCACCTAATGGAGTAGAAAAGATACGATCAACTTCAGTTTCAAACATATACGGTATTGGGCCACGAATTGACCCAACAGTTGTCTCTGCAGTTGCAGTTGGGTTCTCTTCAAAAACATTTTCATTGTCCTTAGCTTCTTGAGAGGCCCCTCCTGGTAGAGTATATACACTCAATACTGTTTTGTCATCATCAAGGATTGCAAACTGATTTTCATTGGGGCCAACAAATACTGCATCTCGACCTACAAGACAGATACTTGAATTATTAAAATGTAACAGATGACCGAAACCTGACTGAGAAAAAAGCTTACTCCAGTTAGAAATACCTTTTACTGTGCTGCTTTTACTGTTTGCTACTTGTGCATCACTATTTTCCCAGTAAAGCACAACTTCATTTGTAGCACCACTAAATTCATAAACTACAAGAAATAACCGCTGCCTTTTACTGTGTATCAGGTATTTTGCTCTGTACTCCACATTTCCAGGAATCTATAGAAAAATAATGAATAACATTACAAGGATGAATTTTCCAAATTTGCATAATTTTTCAGTTGAAATATATAAATACTTCCAGCATATCAATATTATGAAAAATGAAAATCTCCACAAAAAATCACAAATACAGAATGATGTTTGTCAAAAATATCTCTGTTACCGAAGTATATAGCTTCCGGTAGATAGTGTCAGATCCAGAAGAAAGATTATGTGCCATAAGGTTCAGTCCATCCATATAGTATGCCCTGACAGGATAATGCAGAACTCGGTTTGCTTTACTAAAGAAATTTAGCTCCAAATGAAAAGGCTGGCAGTGCACAAATGGTGTCAGTTTATTGAACAGAAAATATAACAAACTTTTCAAAACAAACTGTTACATGAATCATACCTCGTAAACTGGAAAGTCCTTCAGATGATGCTTGTTATCAAGAACACTGATAAGAGGCAAGCGTGATATAGGAGAAATTTTTGCATGGCCCTCCATAAAATGCTAAAAAAATATGTAAAGGTATCATTCAGAAATAATTGACGTAAGAAACTCTTAGAATATTTATCCTATTTATCATTCTTATAATATTTACTCTATTTATCATCATTGTAGTGTGTCTAATATACATAGTAGTAGTACCTAGGTATGCACCTAGGTCAAGGGGCAGACCTGTAATCTTTCATGTACTTTTGTATCAAAACTTTCTTATATATAGAATGAGAGAGAGGGATCTTTCAAGTCCTCTACAATTTTTTTACAGTTTCAATCTCAAGTTGGTATCAGAACGGGTCGATCCTACTCTGGTTTCTGTCTCGTAGCATATGTCTTGTGTTGTTTGTAGTTGTCTGCGGTTGTCCAATCCCTATCTGCAGTTATCCATTGCAGTTTGAAGCTCTTCAATGTTGTCAGCCACTGTTCTTCACTATTTCGCCGTTGTCCACCACCGTCCGCCACCGGATCTGGTTCACCTCTCCATGCGATGACCACCCACGCCAGTGCCAGGGTCCCGTTCTCCTTCACGCGCCGCTATTCACTCCATCTTTGTGCACCGTGAACAAGCGCATACTATTCATGCACCGCCCTCTGCTCGTCTGATCGCCATCACGACACCTCCACAGCGGTCACCGGTCCTTCCTCTCCCCATTCTGACCCTCAAAACTCCTCTTCGAAAGGGTCCCGAAGCTTCCCTTGAAGAAAGTTTGTCTAAACCCTTAGGGTTTTCTAGCTCCTTGCTGTTGCAGTTTCTTCTTCTTCAGAAATGGCATCTAGCAGTACTCTTTCATTCTCCGAAAGTCCATCAATTATTTCCTAGAAGCTAAATGGAAAAAATTATCTATCATGGTCTACTGCCATTGAAATGTGGTTCTTTGGGCAATGACATTATGACCACCTTGAGCAAGATGGAAGCCATGTGCCTGCAGAAAAAGCTGATCAATGGAAACAAGCAGATTTCCAGTTGTGTGCTCTGTTATGGCAATCAGTGGAACCCAAACTTCTTATATTTTGAGAGCTTTCAAAACTTGTCACTACTTTTGGAAGAAAGCTCAAATCATCTATGCCAACAATATTCAAGGTCTCTATGACACGGCAATCAAGCTTGCATCTCTTAAAATGGCAAACCATGATATGGTGTCCTTCATGGTTAAAGCTCAATCTGCTGTCGAAAAACTAATGATATTTTAAGAAGCGGACTCATTTGAGGATATCAAGAAGAAACTAGACAAATATTACATGGTGTTAATCCTTTGTACCCTACATCCAGATTTTGATCATATCAGATATCAACTTCTGACAAGTCATGAGGTCCCCTTCATGGAAACATTGACCACTCGCCTTCTCCACGTCCCAGTACCTCAAACTCAAGAAGCGCATGAACAAGTGGAACCATTTGTCATGGTTGCCACACGAGGAAGAGGAGGACGTGGTACTAGAGGAGGAGGATGAGGAGGTCAGGGACGTCCTCAATGCACATACTGTAAAAGGATGGGTTACACTCAAGAGAATTGCTACTCCTTACATGGTTTCCCTTCCAAAACCACCAATATTTCGAAGACCGAAACTTCCACTTAATATCAAGAGTATATCTAAGGTTAAAGTCTAACAGCTTGGCACAGACATCTCAATTTCACAGTACATCAACAACTTGCATTTCTCAATCCATGGAAGGTCAAAATTCATGGGTAATTGACTCAGGTTCTTCTGATCACATTTATCGTAATACCTCTTTGTTCTCATCCATTTCTTTTCGAGAAAAGCCTCATTTCATAACCCTTGCAAATGGACCTAAAACTTCCTCAAAAGGAGTCGATCATGTTTCCTTGTCTCCCTCTCTCAATCGAAACTTTGTCCTTTATGTCCCTAATTGTCCTTTTAATTTAATTTCCCTAAGCCAGTTGACCAAAATGTTAAATTGTTCAATAACCTTTGATCACAAATCTTTTGTTATATAGGAGCGTGGTTCGGGGAGAAAGATTGGAGAAGGATATGAAGATGGAAAATTATACCATTTTGGATCTCATCCAAGGGTGTCTTGTGTTGCTGCTCCTAATCCTAAAGTGTTACATGATCGACTTAGTCATCCTCATTTGTCCAAATTAAAAAAGATGTGTCCTGAAATAAGTGGTCTCCAGACCTTAGATTGTGAGTCATGTCAACTAGGAAAACATATTAGATCTACCTTTCCAAAAAGTCTCAATCAATATGTAATTCTAGTTTTTCAATCATCCATTCTAATATATGAGGACCTAGTCATATCTCCTCCTTTGGTTTTAGATGTTTTGTTACCTTCATTGTTGAATATTCAAGATGTACTTGAATACATTTGTAATAAGCTTAGTGCATATGACATATATACTCCAGCTTGAGGGAAAGTGTTTAGAATATAATTAGCTATTACAGATTTGTATGAAATTAAACGTTACATAATCTAGGAAATTAGGATGATTGATTCTTAATTATTAGGTGTTTTTATTATAATTGATTATGTAAAATAGTATAAATACATACGGTGTGGTATGCATCAAACATACTATACATTTAGAACATATACAATTCTATATATACTATAAACGTATTTGAGCATATCATAACCTATATTTTTCAAGATGACACGAATTGTCGTGTCAGATACATGTACCTGATACTCGTATAGTATTAGTGCATCATAGATACAAAAGCCAAACTTTTGTGGCAACAGTCTATTTTTGTGGTTCTCTGGTGTCAATGGTAGCTGAGAAGGAAAGCTAGAATTTTCAAAGGCACGGTGATCTCAAGAAAATTTGGAATAGGATTACTTTCTTGGCTAGTCTGTGGTGTTTTGCCAACAACTGTTTGGAGTGTGTTCTCTGTTACACATCAAGAGAGATTGACAAGCCTATTAAATGACTTAATTCTAGATGTTTCTTTTGTTATTTCTTAAAGACAACTTATTGTCTTTAGTCTTAATTTGATGACAGCACAAGATCAGTTCCATATGCAACATAAACTCCAATTCAACAACAACAATAAATAAATAAAATTAGAAACATACACTATAAAGAAAAGCCTTCCTCGCAATATCTGATATTGTAAGATGCCCTTGGCTGCAAGAAATAGTACAGATATCAACAGTGACATAAGATCCTTACGAAAATTAATTGAGCAGACTTTAGGGAAGAATCCAACCATTGTCAAATCTCAAACTGATAACTTAATGCTTAAACTCAACAATTTTTTTACCAGAAGACTAAATTTCGAGTGTGGATAGTGATTATGAAATAATAGATTATCTTGGACCCAACAATTAGACAGGAGCAGCAACTGATCCCACCAAGTCGTCCCTAAGGTAGCATGAACAGAACAAAATAGGACCAAATGGAATGGAACACCGTTGCTTTGTTTATTTAGAACTATATTTGGTATGCATAGAACAAAATATAACAGTGTCCTTTTTTTGCATTTGGTGCCTACTCAATAGAATAGAACACTCTTTTCAGTTATATATGTTTCGGTGCCAAATTGAGTTAACGAGACTCATTACAGGTTGGCTCACTTTTTGGTGAGCCAAATATTTTGTAATCCAATTCAACCTAACACAAATTGATGGATTAAATGAGTTGACTTATTTAAAAATGTTTTAATCCAATTTATTTTATATATTTATTGCAGTACAATCAAAACGGATTAACTCGGCTCACTTTTGTATAACAATACAATCAAAGTGGTCACATATTTCTCTAAACATGATTATAAAGATAGAAATTGAAAATTAAAGTGTCATATTTTGTCAATAAATAAATTAATCATCCAAACTATTCAAACATTATTGAACAAAAAGATCAAATTGTCAACCTATATAATTATAAGTAGTAAATAATTATAATAAAAATATGAAAAAATGGTAAAAAAAACTAAAAAGTTGTTAGTGGGGTACAGGTCAACTTACCTTTAACCCAACTTGAACCCACCAAGTCGGGTTCAATTTAACTCACATTTAAAAAAAATATATTTTCCAATTCAATCCGACCTGAATCCGTGGTGAGTCAGATTAGTTCATGGGTTTATATCTATTTTTTTATCTCTCTCTCTCTCTCTCTCTCTCTCTCTCTCTCTCTCTCTCTCTCTCTCTATATATATATATATATATATATATATATATATATATATGTATCTCCATCTTATTTAAGGTTCAGTAAAAATCAAATAGAATAGACACTCCTTTATGTTCCACTTTACAATGATCATAATATAATAATTTGAAAAGAATGTCATAGGCTACTGTAACAACTTATGCATATATGACAACTTAATGCAACAGGAAGAAACAAATTTAAAAGATATTATAAAAAATAGTCATTAATAAAAGTACTGGTTTGATTTTAGAACATAAATGCATACAACAATTGAATACAAAAATAAATACTCTAACATGTAAATATAAATGTATTAGGTAAGAGATGAGAGAAGTGAGCATCAACTGTATTATTAAAACGGATAGTTAAGATTAAAATTCAAGAAAATAATCTTGACCATCTCTGTATGTTTGTTTGATCAAGATTTACTTCTTTTACCTCATGCTGTCACTACAATATATACGTATGTGTGTGTGTGTGTGGTAAAAACAGTCCCCGTTTTAAGAATGTAAGAAATATAAGTATAAGTCATACAACCATACATTATGATCAAGATTAAAAATTAGTTAGTGACCGTAAGACTACTTAAGAAAACTATGTGCATTTATCTTTTAATCCCAACCATTAAAACATGATTCCATTGTCTACATCTATTGTTTTCATTTCTCACAGTAGCAAGAGTTTTCACTTGAGACGTTCCTCCTAGATTTTGGGCTTAAGGTGTAACTTAACCTCAAAATCAATGTAAAAGTTGAGGACTGAAAAAACTTTATTAGAACCGACAATTAACCATATCTCTATATGATACAAGATCTCAACCCCTTAAGAGCTTACATCCCAGCAGCACACTCCAGAGACAAGCAGAGGTGCTTCCTCAAGTACATAAGAGCCTGCTGCCATGGGTCAGCGGTAACAATGGCTGAACCAAAAATTGCAGTACACGTGTAAAACAAAAGGCAGAAGATTGAACAAGAGTAGCTCCGCAACCACAACTGAACTGAACAGTAAGTAATCCAATTGGATTTTCCATGACAATGAGTAGAATATGTAAGGCAAACAAGATCAATCCCTTAGGATCAACTCATCTATGAAAATGATATAACCAAATTAGAGTATATAAATGGGGTTCAATTCATTCTATGAGCTTGATTTTCAAGGTGAGTCACGGAAACAAAATTGAAAGATGATATTATAGAGCATATCCTAGTTGTTGTTGGACATATTCAACAATCTACAGATTCTCAATCTTGCAAACTTAACACGCAACTCAAGATGTTTGGTCCACACCATAGTGACATTGGCTAATGATATAACCAACTTAGTGCTTGCGTGCGTGTAACAAAACAAATCAGAAAATTTACAGTGCAGTATTTCAAATTTCACTAATTAAAGCACAATATTTCAACAACTTCAATACTACTAGATTTGTTGACCAAACCCTACGCTGATATTGGTATCAAGTTCCCTAGAAGGATAGCCAATCAAGACCAAACTCTTCAGAGTAGAATAGATATAAGCCTAAGTGGTTTAAGAATAGAATAGATATAAGCCTAAGTGGTTTAAGAAAAAATTCTAATTCCCATTTCCCATATTCACTTTATTTCCTGTTTTAGAAGAGGAAATGGTAGAAACAAAATGAACTTTGAAAACAAAGTAACACATTTTGTAATTATTAATCAAAACATGAAACCAAACAAAATACAAAATAAGCCAAACACAGAAGAACCCTTTTCTAACTTACCCTTTAAGATGATGCTCTTGTAGTTGAGATTGAAGTTGATGGTCTGCTAACACTCCAGAAGAACCCAAGGCAGAAAGTTTTTCCCTTAAAACAGATGCTGCAAAGCACTTCTACCATCAGCATATCTTTAATGTTAATTATATACAAAAATAAAAGCAATTACCTGAAGATCCTCGTGCACTTTGTAAAACTGCAAAAAGTTGCTTTCTCCCTTCTCTACTGTATCTGGCCCTATTTTTTGAGCTGTCGGCTATTGTCACATTCTGTTAAAATAAACACCAATTTATCTTCCACATTCACATACAAGCAAGGTATAAACAAAGTAAGGTAGCACGTAACTGCAAAAACTAGTGCTGCTAAATTAAATTTTGGATGAAACTCTAAAGCTTTGATGCGTGGCAATGGATAAACTGTTTCTCCACCCTGTTGAGAAAGGATTCGAGGGATATCAATTGATTCAATAGCTGCATCATAATTTAATACATGTTAGCCAAACACTTATAGAAAAAAGAGTACAAGAATGAAGTATGACTAGTGTTATTATGTTCCTCACTATATATCTATCTATTAAAAAATTCTATAACAACAAGGAGAGAGGAAAAGTAGAAGCAGAAATATTCTGCATTGTAATTAAAATAAGCTATCAAAATTCAACACCAACAGGAAGTCATCAGGTTTTCAGGGTGAAGGCAGGAAGAGTCAATATAGCCAACCTGCAGGCTCAAAAAAATTAGCCTGAGTAGGAGGTCCATTAGGATTAACTGCAACACGTGTTTCCCAAACATGAAGATTTCCATCCTTAGATAGAGTTACAAGTAAGCGCAACATGGGGAGCCAAGCAACTGATGTTATAGGATGAGAACCAACTTGTTTTCTGAAATTTCAATAACAAAAAATGATTACATATAACCATAACAACAAGCCTAAACTCAAATATCTACATATAAACTCAGGATAATAATAAATAAGAAACCATAGGTGACAATGATACTAAGCCTCAGTCATGGTACAAGAAAAAAAGCCGATCATAGTAAATTACACTCACATTCCAATCATAATAGGTCTCTCAGTTGATACATCCCATACCAGAAGTGTACCTCGTCGATCCCCAACAAAAATCCATTCCAGAGTTGGATGAAAGGCAAATGCACCAGCACCAACAAGCTTTATGGTATTGTCAACTGAGTAGTAAAAACAATATAAATACAAAAAATATTAATATAAAGCATGCCTACAGGAAATGAATATGTAAGAAATCATCTTACGTTGTAGTGTGTAATGAACAGCATAGGTATGAATATTATAAGCTCGAATCAAACCTTCTGCATAAGCAACATACTGTGATGGAAAAACAATCCAGTCAAATTCAAAAAACATAGGATTGAAGTATATCATTAGCATAAGAAACTCATCACTAGAAGTGTCTTACACCAGAACAACATCACATGTACTTACAAGAAAACGTAATCTCCTAAAATGATGCACACTGAAAACATTACCAGTACGGGGAGACGAGGGTGACAAGCAAGGTTGACAACAGGCTTCTTCAAGTCTGTCTTAATTTTTGTGGGTGCTCTACCACCTTCTACAGTTCCAACAACTTCATTTGTGCAAAAAAATATTTAATAGAAACAATCACCATTAGTAACCAAACTAGTACAAACATATTTGTTTAAACACATTATAAGGCATATCCAACCTGTCACACTCATTCGTTTATGAAACCCAAAGAAAACAACAGGTTGTAGTGGGGTCAAAGCCATATGAACTTCTGTATCAGAAGAAATTTGCTCTGTCTTCTTCTCTGGTGAATGTAATACACATGTTTGCTCTAAGTCAAAATCACAAGACCGTATTGTACAATCCTACATATGTAAAAGAAACCAACAGGCATGATAAGAAGAAAAGAACAACCCAATCACAATATATAAACGAATACAGAATACAATTGAGGGGCATAGCTAAAAAATAAAACAGGAATAGCAAGTGGTCTTGCTTCCCAAGACCTAAGTAACAGAATATGAAACAAACGAAATTCATAAAAGATTGAAACGGATAAGAAAAAAAAAGTTCAAATGAATAGGAGAATCTGTGTTTAAGCATTTTTTATATCTAAATGAGCAGTAATATTAAAATCAAAGAATAATTATAAACATTCTTTTCAGTGAAACTTCTTAATTTTAATTTTTTTTTCTGGATTTCATCAAGTCAAATGCTTCATCAGTTCAGTAAGATCCTAATTCCTAAAATGTTGTCCACATCATCCACAATACATCCATCAAGATTTTATTTGCATATTACCACCTCTACAGCAAAAAAAATCAGAAAATAAAATCCTGAACATTTGTGTGCAAGAGAGAGAAAATTAATGGTTCTGAACAAACCACAATCTTTTTGCAAAACTACATCCTTCCTTCATAGTGAAAGCATGTCTACACTTTCCACTAAGAATTTCAGACACAGCAAAGGGATTATTTTGATGGAGGAATGAGGGCACATGAAAAGTTCAGGTATGATCAACCTGGAGGATTGCAATCACAGTATGCCCACTTGTAGGACTATAAGACATTCGTACAACAGGTGCCCCAATGTCAAGAGCGGAAATCTTGCTTCCTGTTAATGCATCAAATTCTGCATACATTGAAACAACCATCAAGTAAAACAGTTAAACCCAAATCAAGTCAACACACAAGGAAATGCATAAGGAAACAGCAATAAGTCCACTCAACTCAAACTCAAACAAGACTTTTAAATATAGGAAAACACTTTATTTACACAAGACAACAGATTGATTAGGATCCCGACTAAATTTAAAAAAGAAAAGACAATAACATATGCATTACTAAACCCATATTTTCTAAAAGTAGTTGACAATGACAGCCATTCGTAACCTAAAAAGCTACAAACAATAGTTCAGTCTCTTATGACATTGTTGCACTAATCTATTTGTCCTCTAATCGACATAAGATAAGAGGATTTGATCTCTAAACATCTAAGATTTATTTTCTTGCAAATCCTATTTCAGTTTCTCACTTCATTTCACAGCAATGCTTCCTGCCCTGTGAATAAATTCTTGTGATAATCATGCACTCCTTCCTGACCAAATTCTTTGTTCAGACTACTGTTCTTGATCGGATTAAAACCAATGATTTACTTCAGATTCAAAGATCCCTAAGTTTATCTCCTGATTGTTGTGTAATGTGGACAGCTATTTGTTCTTGCATTGTTTGGCAGCTTCATTTTTCTAGAAAAATGACTTGGCTTTGGTGAACATCAGGTTTATCCCAAGAATCTTCAGCAGCCTTCTGCGCATTATTGTCAAGGATTCAATAACGCTAGGCATGCTGTAAAGAGTTAATATTGTTCTGAGTTGGCTATTTTTTGGTGTATTTTATTAGAAAGATATGCTAGAATTTTCTCTCGACTCTTTTATCGAGCTCATTAGGAATCAAGAAGTTTACTACCTTCTTTGCAGTATTGCATTTATATAGGAGTATATTTCATAGACCCTCCTCAGGTGTCTGGCATGCAATATTGCATGTTTTTCATCCATTTTTTTTATCTTTTCATTTTTTGTGACATCTTTTTTCCTTGAGGATATTTTATCCTTTGCATTTGAATCTTTCTCAACTTTCATAATAAATCATTTGTTTATAGAAAAAACATTTGGTTACATGTCTGCTTGTCAAACCAGACCCAACATGACCCTTGTGGGACTCATCTATTACATGCATACATCCAATATTTTAAATTTTTTCAGCTATGGTTATGTTATAATACACCATTGACACTTTTAAAATTTGACAATAGAAGGTAAAGGTTGAGTCTGATTCACATTAAGCAACTTTCTTTATAAAAAAAAAAAAAAAGAAGCATATATATATATATATATATATAGTTAAATATGTTTGTAGTCTTTGAATTTTGACGTGAAATTAGAATTTGTTCCTGCCTCAAACTTTGATACATTTTGGTCTGTAAACTTTAAAGATGAATGGATATAGTCCTTTCAATCCAATTAAGTTAAAATTTTTTTATGTGTCAAAAGTTTTTCATGTTAGTATTTGAGTTGTTTACTCTGTTTGACACATTTTCGTTTCAATGTCATTTGTTGAACGCATTTGACATGTTAAATAAATTTAGCAAAATTGGGTTGAATGGACTATATCTATTTATTTTTAAAGTTTGGAAACCAAAATGTATCAAAGTTTCGAACAAGGACGAATTCCAATTTTATTTCAAAGCTCATGAACTAAAGACATACTTAACTCATATATATATATATATATATATATATATATATATATATATATATATATATATATATATATATATATATGTATACATATATATATATAGTACTTTTCCCTTTATGCATAATTATTCCTTCTTTACATTGGCTAGGTCTATTAGGACAGGTTGATCTCAACTTTATACTAATCTATAGCTTTATTTCTATGATTTTAAAAAATTTATTATTCATTTAATTAGAGAACATTTATTAGAAATTAAATATTTGCCCTCCCTTCCCTTTTTTCCTCAAAAACCTCACTCCTCAGCATATGCTTATGAATTTCCTTTTGAAAGATGTAAGGAGAAATTATCTATATGTTGTTCCAGAGGGCTCAGTAATAGCAAGTGTTGGCAACAAGGTTTTAAAAATAGGCGCACAACAGGAATTTTGGCTGAGATGTTAAACATCATGACAAAGCCATGACACAATTGTAGACCTTTATAGGAAAATATGACATATACCAAAATATTACAAATCTAGGAGCTTGTGTTCGTTTGAGAGAGAGAGAGAGAGAGAGAGAAAGAGAGAGAAAGAATGTATGCTTCATAGTTCAAACTTGGATGCGGTAATATATGTAACATGAGGTGATAGTATCTGCTTCATAGTTCCTAACAAGTTGATTATAGATATACAGTAAAAAAGTAGTTAATTAACAACAGCTCAGGTATCACGGATCAAATCAACATAAAAAGTAGTTTCTACTGGTGCGTGCCTTCAAAAACTAAAGTTTCAATTCAAATTAAGCCGCAGGAGCATTCATCAAACAACAAATATATATATATATATATATGAGCGTTTGAGTGTCTGCTTCATAGTTCATTGTACGTGATTGTGAATACACAGCAAAACCGTTGTTAATTACCAACGGCTCAGATGTCACGGATCAAATCAGTACACAAGATTACTTCTACTATAGTGCGCGCCTTAATAAACTAGTGCTTCAAGTCCAAGTACCATCAAACGACCATAACAAGCACACAGTTAAACAAACTGAATTGCGAATTAACAAGGTAAACTAAGTTCCAGGAATCGAAGAGGTACGAAAAGAGATAGTGGTTGGTGTCTCACCGACGATGTAGGTTCCTATGGCGACGGCGACAAGAGCTTGGTGAGGATGGAAGCAAGCAGCGTGAGGCTGCAGAGGCCTAACGCCACGGCCGACGTGGCGCAGATCCAGGTGCTGCAGCGTCGTCCACTCCATGGATCGCGTTCCCAAACCAGCAACACTACTTCACCACATTCAAATCTTGTTTGCGCTTTTCGAAAACGTGAAATTGTGCTTTCCAATGCTGCAATTATCGATCTGCAATGGAGTGTGGAGAATCCAAGGAAAGATGAGCAGTGAGATCGCGGGACCGGGCGAAGTTGGGAAAAGCCTGGTGCAGAAGCTGGAAGTGGTGACCAAATGAGACGAGAGAAAGAAAAATGTTTTGATTTTCAAAGAAAAATGTTTTGATTTTCATACGGGGTCAAGCGAATTTCCTTACCGGGCCTGATCCTGTCGGGTGGGGGAGTAAGGGCTTTTCTTTCTGCACCTCCTAAATTAAGGAATACCCTTTTTTACCTTTATAAATTTATAACAAATTATAAATTATAAATTTATAATAAAATAGGACAAGTCTTCACTTCATCCTTCTACGCGCCCATCCAAAACTTTCTTCATTTTCATTTTGTTTTATCATAGTTATTTTGTTAATGTGGAAATTGAATCCATCATTTTTCTCATTCTTGTTTTAAATCAAACAAATTTTTAGTGTCTTGGTTCACCATTGAAGCTCTTTAAGTTATAGAACATCTGTTTCAGTTTCTTCATCATCGATTGAATAGAGGAATAGGTTTTGTTTTTGTTTTTGTTTTCTTATCATCTGTAGTGTTTTGGGTAAGACATGAGTATAGGCTCATTGTAGGGTTCTAATAGGTTCGATCTAGAATGTTTTACCAAATCCAAAAAGATATATGAAAATCAACCATTCAAAATGTGGGACGAATGTCTTACCACTTAAAGAGTTTCAATGATGAATCAAAGCAATGAAGAAAGACTCAACAAAGACATAGAAGAAACCAAGTTGAAGAAAGGTTTCAGTGCAAAAAGGAAGAAGGTGGAGTGAAGACTTGTCCTATTTTATTATAAATTTATAAGGGTAAAACTAACTTTTCCTAATTTAGGACTGCAGCAAAAAAAAAAATTGAGAGCAGGAAGAAAAGAGGGTGGAGTAAATAAGCCGCTTCTATCGAGGAGCAGGCCCAATCAAATATAGCTAGGGAGATTCTAAATGGGCTGACAATTTCTTTGAGCACTCTGATTCTTTCTTCTTGCACTTTTATAAGTGTAGATAAGGTCCAAATTACTAATAAATTACAAATAATTTTGGTTGCATAATTCCAAAATTAATTATAAATTTGTGCAACTCAGAATTTAAAAACTTGTTACAAATTGTATAAACGAATATGTACTTAATATTGTACAATTGGGTTTCAAAGGATATAATAGAAAATGTATTTTATATTGTAAAACTTAAAATTCAATAAATTTTAAATTATTTAGTTAAGAAATTTTGGATATACTATCTCACCTATACATATATTTACAAAAATTGTAATATAAATATATTGTACAATTGGGTTTCAAAGGATGTAATATAAAATGTATCTTAGATTGTCAATTTATAATATATTTACAAAATTTGTAATTCAAAAAAATTAAATATAAATAATTTAAACTTTTTCAATACTAACTCTAGGCGGAGATTCAATAAAAAACCATGAATGTAGGAATAGATCTCTTATAAATATATTTTTATGTTTATGTTTATCAGATTTTCCAAATTTAGAATTCAAATTTATTATGTTTCGAAGGTTTAATTAAGTTTTTAGTTCATAATAAAATTTGGATGTCTTCAGTTTAATCTTTAATAAACTTTTGCTTGTGAAGTCTAAATTATTTATTTTTCATGTTTGTTAATGGCAATGACGTGATATTAGTTTATTATATTATTTTAACTTATTATTATCATAATTGTATTTATAGAGTCAAAGATATTTTTGTAAAGTTTTTCTTTTATTTCACAAAGTTTTATTATTTGATAGTCGTTCTCCAAACATTTTTTTTGTCGTCTATGAAATGGTAGGATGTTTACAAAAAAAAAAATTAACATTTAAGTTGGTGCTTTGGATCAAAAATTCTTGTCAAATTTGGATTAATGTAAAACTAAAATCAAAATATGATTAAAATAATATTTATTGAGGTGTTTTGCTAATTATGGATCATCATTTGAGTGGACCTCAATATAGGTCCATTGGCTCATAGGCTCATAAGTTCAATGATGATCTTATTCGTGATGATCTCTAACCATTTTTTTACTAAGTTACCTAGTGTGTGGATGTCTTCGACAAACAAAGAAATGTACTAACATGTGCCACCCCACTCTAGTGAGAAACGTGCTTTATCAAATAATGATGTTTTTGGGAATACTGTACTCAATATTTGGTTATTGGTGTCTAATGTGTGACATTAAACTTGTCCTTTTGGGTGTGTAGCTCTTAGTATCCAGTAGATAGTTTATCATCTTCAAAGTATTCGATATTTGGCATGTGAGCTCTACTAGCAAAAAGATACTTTATATGCGGTATCATATTGATTGTTTGGTTAGTCAATCATTTTAAGGTTGTATTTGAAGAGTCGAAGAAGCTTCAGATTACATACATACAATATTTATTTTATAAATTTTTAATATTCACTTATTTAATAATTTTCATCACTAATATTCAACTACATCTACATTGCAAAACGGGAATATATTGAATGACTTCTTTTAAGAAAAAGATAACCTAACTTTAGTTAACTTTGTTCAATTCTTAAATGGTTTCTTTTATATTTATTTTATTGAAAATTTGAAATTGGTCATTCGACACATTAAAATTAACTAAAATTTCTGTTGCTTTTTTCGAAAATAAGTCTTTGAATTCGTACCCTGTGTAAAATTTGTAGTATTTTATCCTAGACTCCAATTGCATTAAGAGAACCTATTTTTAGACTCTAATTGCATTAAAGAAAAACCTATTTTCAAATATTGTGAATTGTTCATACAGCTCATTGTACAAGATAACGTCAGATCAAACTTCTTCTTCAACCTAGAGACGACAACAAGTTAAGTATGGGTACTGTCTAATCACTATATGTCTCGCCTAAAAAGATTTTTTTCCTGAAAAAATACCAAAGGCTTTATTTATATTTATGGATACCCATGGACATTTTTATATTTTATAATTTTAATTTTTAATAAATTATTTAAAATGAAATCAATTAAAATATAAAATTAAATAAAAAAATTAAAGTACAATTTAAATTAAATTTCTCACTAAAATATTAATATAATACAAATTTTAATACATTGCACAAAATATAAATTTTAAAAAATAACTTCAACATTGTAGGTTCTAACTAGAAAATAAAAATACATAACAATCAAAATTTAACAATAATAAATATTTCTTTCACTAGTAACTTTATTTTGATCATTTTATTAAAAAAATCAATAATAAAACTCGCTAATAATTATTTATCAATAAAAATATAAAAAAGATAATTATGAGTGAGTAGCGAGTATCCCTTGGTAAGATGTCATGAATCATGATATTCATACACATTCCCATTAATAAACAGGTAATAAAATACACGTATTCATTATGTGTGGATATTAATTAAGAATATTTATTAGTGTCCATCATGGATTTTACTTATGGAAATTTGCGGATATCAAGTTTTTTGTCAACCTTATACTCACCCTATAAACCATGCCGTAGTTTCAGGTGCTTTCACTTATGTAAGAAACTTTTCATTTTAGTTCTCACTTCCATTTTTCACACGCACACCTACAAAGTATGAAGCTTAAATACAAATGCTTCACATATTTTTCCACGACACAAAGTTGGGAATGCAACAATATTTTAGAGGTTTTTTATGTAAAGAGAATGGGAATGGAACAATATTTTAGAACGTTTTTTATGTTAAAGAGAATTGCATTGTTTCACGTATAGTTTTTCTCGTAGTTGACTCCTCCATGACTAAACATTGTTAAGACTACTACCTTATGGAAAAAACTTTTGTTTTTATCTTTTCTTTACTGACCAAGGGTTGATCAAGAAATCTTCCAGCAAAGACATTGTGGATGAGGTTGAAAATTTATTAATGCTATGTTGAATAATAAAAAAGAAATATTATAGTAGTTGAAACTGTTGGGTTATGAGGAAGAGGTTCACTGAGGAGATACAATACCAATGAGATTAGGTCCAATCACATAAGAGATTGACACCACTCTCTACCCAAAACCTTAACACAATGAGTTAATGGATCTTCAACATTATGTGGTGTTCTAAACTTTTCCGTTTCTATCCATGTAGGACGTAGACTCACACTTGGAATCCTAACAATCTTCCGTTTCAAGGGTGAGTCTCTTCCACATATGTCTCCTTTATACCATCGTTCATCTTAACGGGACACTCTTACTTGAAAACATTTGTCAGCAAGACTTTCGATACATGGACCATTATACTCATCTGAGCCTAACTTGACTATGAAAACACTTGTTGGGTATATCAGGGAGGAGGTTTGCTGAGGAGATTTAAAATCAATGAGATCTAAACTCAACCACATAGGAATTGACACCACTTGCTATCTCCAAACCTTAAGACAATGGGTTAATGGATCTTCAAATTTGTATGATGCTCTACTTTCTCATTTCTACTCAATGTGGAACTTAAACTCACACTTGAAACCTAACAATCTCCCTTTTAAAGTGAGTCCCCTCCACATTGGTATCCTTTCCAACGGAAGCATTTGAGTATCCTTTTTGTACCGTCGTTCATCTTAACAGGACACGCTTACCTGAGATTCGAGTCCAATGGGATTGACACCACTTTCTACCAAAAACCTTAAGGCAATGTGTTAATGAATTTTCAACCTTATATGGTGCTCTACTCTCTCATTTCTACTCACTATGTAACTTAGATTCACACTTAGAATCTCATGAAAATTATCAAATAAATGATAATGAAATTATAAAATTATAAAAATATAAATTTAAGAAATTATAAAATTATAAAACTAAAAAACTATATAATTATAAAATATGAAGCTATAAAATTATAAATTCTAAAACTAAAAAAATATAAAATAACATGGCACAACCTAATCAAAGTTATGAAATAAGATTTGACTCATGTCAACCCGTTAAAAAAAATAACAGAACTCAGTTGAAAAGTTTAATTTTTATAAAATATTATTGGAAAAACATATCCAAATTTATCATAAACATAAAATTTAACTATACCTATTTCAAAATACATTATTTGAATGAACATTATCATCGTATATAATTACCGAATCGTTATCAAAATATACGAATTATGTTCCAATTTTTTTAAA